ACTGTTGACTCACCGATCCTAACATATTCATCAGTACTATCTGCTGATGTTCCATACTAACATGCGAAATATCGCTGTTACTTTTTGTAAAGTTGATAGCCCAAGTTTGACGACACCATCCATCTTCTGTACGAAGAAGTTGTCATGCTTACGTACCGCCTCAACTATATGAAGGAATAAACTCATTTGCATCATATGTACGGTTATCAGAAAAATAATCAATGTAGATTTGAGAATTACCTTCTTCCCTCTCGCGATTGATCACCAAATGACCAGGAACTGAGCTAATACGTTTTGGCCGCTCTGCCTCTTAAGAGAGATAAGTCATTATTTTATTATTAGAGGTATATACGCGAGCTAAGATTCCATCTTCCTTCTCCCATTGTGTCATATCATCCTCCTAATCGTCAGAAAAAGAAGAAGAAGAAGAAGAAGAAGAAGAAGGTAGATGTGACAGTCCAGCTTCATAGTTCATTATTGAAGAAGTTGTTTATAGAAATAAAAATATAAGTTGTGAGTTGTTTAGAGATGGATGTAATGTCATGATATAATATTTCTCCCTGCATAGGATTCTTTTCACTAGCATTGGATTATCTTTGTGTTGGATTCTTCCCCACATTGGATTCCTTCCGTGTTGGAGTCTCCCCACATTGGATTCTCTATGTGTTGGAGTTTCCATGCACTGGATTCTTGCTAGCATAGAGTCTCCCCACGTTAGATTTCTGCCAGCGTTAGCTTCCTTTTGTGTTAGAGACTCTCCACATTAGATTCCTTTCGTGTTGGAGACTTCCCGTATTGGATTCTCCTGGTGTTGGAGACTCCCTACATTGGATCCTTATGTGTTGGAGACTCCTCACATTGGATTCCTTTCGCGTTGGAGACTCCTCACATTAGATTCTCATTGCATTGGTTTCTCCTCAGTAATGATTTCTACCCGAAGTATCTCTATAAATATTTACACAATAAAAATACAGGAAACTGAAAAGAACCTCGACATTGAAACTCTCAATAAAAATAATCAAGAAATTGTTGATCTTTTAAAAAAAAGTCATGGACAACGAGAAAATGATAGAATGACAATGCACCAGATTATAATGTTAAGGGCCGAAAACGATATAAAAATTAGATCTTCAAAGGGAACGACAAGAAAGTAAAATTATGTTAATTAATCTTGATGCTATTATTGATTCTTCGGAACACGAGTATTTTTGAATTAAAAAACAAGAGATTTTAAATAGAAACACAACTGGAGGTTATTCATCTGATATTCCTAATCATGAATATAGTTATGCAGGAAGTCAATACGGAATACCTGACTATAGAAGCGGTGGATATGGAGGAAATGACCTGCCCGATATTTAATTTTTTTCCATATACTTTATTTTTCTACGTAATGCCGCTAAATTTAATATATAAAATTTCATCACTTTCGGCAAAAAGTAACTCATTATGGAGTGAGAATTGGACTTTGGAGTAGTTATGAAGATTGTTCCAACTATTATGCTATACCTTCTGGTTGTTAAAAGATTTTTCTGGAACTGCATTTTCGAGCCAACTCCATCGGTACCCTGTTTCTAATTATTTTTCGGTTCTCTCTAAAATGAACCGCACATTATCTTTTTTTGCCTTCGGTTTTATTTTTAAAGGCTCTTATCTATTTTTTATTATCAAATCATTAAAGATAATTAATTTTATTTAAATATATGATTATATTATATATTATAATTTTAGTATTAATTTATAATATATTTTATATTTTAAATTAATTCATATAATTTTTTATCATTTTATATTTTCAAAATTATTTAAAGTATTATATAAATAATCATTTAATAATATATATTTTTAAAAAGAGTTTCATATAGAGGGGGTGGTTGGAGTGCCCCCCCTAAAATAGAAAATGCATGAAAATATTCTTTGGGGAGGTTGCAAAATGTAGTCTGGCTGCAAAATACAGCCTCCCAGTTGGAGCTGCTCTTATTTTGGTTTCAAGTCCTAGATTTTCTTCTTTATCATCTTGGTGTCATCTATTACTTGGAAATGGATAACAACATACTTTAGAAAAAAATAAAAAAAGATGGATAAAGTTAATGATTCTGAAATTAGTAGATAAAAGCTCATTGTGTAAGTGTTGGGAAATTTTTCAATGCAACCATTTGTGATGGGAACAACTAAAGATGTCAACTGGAGGTTTGAGGCCGCTCAAATACTTATGAAATGGATGCTCCACTTTATATCATCTTAAAAGCAGCGGTAGATAACATAGTATAGAAAGCAATACAGATAGAGAAAGCTCATAAGACGAGTGTTGAGACAGTTTCCAATGCAAAAGAAAAAGTATTTCTCTTGAAAAGTATATACGTGATCAATTTGAGGCCAGAGACTAAACATTAATAAGATGGAAATTTCACTTTATTTATCTGGTCATTACTTTTGAAGGTGAACTTTGTATTGCACTTCACTACATTTGTTCATATGTAATATGATGATGTCATCTTTATTTGAATCATTTACTTGCTCAAGCATTTGTTTATTTTTTTGGCACCCTGCATTTCTCGCAAAGTCTTATTTTTCCTTTATTATTTGCCAATCAGGTATTGCATGATTTGTAAAACAATGTGACCCTTACAGATAAAAGAAAATTTATCACATTCATTCAGTTGCTTCGGCATTACCACAGCAACAATATTTCTTCATTCTTTTTGTTGTATCCATCACTTGCGAACCGTATACAGTGTACGTTTTGTCCAAACAACAGTGATGGTCCTTGATAGTTTTGGATGCTATGGTAAGTGTGACTTAAGTTGTAATAATGTCTGGAACCGTCAAGATTTCGTATGTGTTGCCAAATCCAAAATGATCACACATGTTGAGAGACGAATAGAAAGAAACCTTTTTATGTGCTCGTGGTGGTTATATATCTGTTTAATTGTTATATTTGTTGATATTGATGTTGTGGAGGAAATCTTGTAGGCTTTTCATCTAGGAGGATGGAAGCTACAATAGAGGATTTTCGGACAGATAATATCTTTGGCAGTGAGTCTGAATTAAGTTTTTCCTTAATGAACGAATGTCAGTTTTTCTCTTTGTGAAGTCTTCCTCGTATAATTATCACTTAGTCTTCTCACATTATGCTAATTCTATAGTTTAAAAAAATTATCATGTTTTTCATGTAAAAAAAAAGTTCCCCTGCTATATTAACCTAAAGGAGAAATACATCATTTTTTACTGTGTTACCACTACAAATTTGGAATTAATTGATCATCTAAAAATTTCTTGATAAATATAATCCTCCCCATAAGACCTGGGCGATGTGCAATACCAATTATAATAATTTCCTAGGAATACTTGTAATGCAATGCATTGTTTCATTAGGTAAGGAAGGTTGATATGCTTGAGGGTGTGTCAATTACTCGCTCCGAGAAGGTGAAAGATGAGCTTGTCCTTGATGGAAATGATATTGAACTTGTTTCGCGCTCTGCTGCCTTGATTAATCAGGTTAATATTTACTTTTTTCTTTAAAAATTACCTATATTAATTAACTACTCTCTTTGTGCTTTCTTATTGTGCCTACTTGTATGATAATTTGTTGCTAATGAAGTCTCTTGTTTGGTAACAGAAATGCCATGTTAAGAACAAGGACATCCGAAAGTTTCTTGATGGTATCTACGTCAGTGAGAAGGGAACCATGGCTGAAGAGTAGTATGTTTTGTTAGGATTTTATGTTAGAATTTGAGATCAAGTCAGTCAAGTGAAAATTTTGGTTTACAACTTGTTTCTGGTTATTATTCTTAGTTGTTACTTGTTAGACATGGAAGTAAATAAAGATTTTGAGGTGTTGTTATGTTGAATGTTCTATCTTTCATGTTGCCAGCGACTCTTCTTTTGTTAAATCTCTAAATTCAGTGTAATGATTTTACTGGTGCATGTTTTTCTGTTAGGATTTATCTTTTACAGGTTTCTTTATGTATTGCGTGGGCAACTAGTACCATTGTATTTTTTTTTTTTTTTTGGGTTCATTTTGGGCTTTCTGCGATAAGAATACTGAGCTGCTTATTGGAGTTTTTGCCGGTTGATACATTTGGCTTGTGTGATGCAATAAACTTGTCTTGTTTTTCATCCAAAATTACTTAGATTTAGTCTACTGAGGTTTATGTAAAGAAAAACTTCATGACCCTTTAAGATGGTCATGTTCGAAGTTGAAGAAGTGGCTTTTGTTTGTTGAATGAAAATTAAGGAAAAGAATTGTCTTATATAGCTCCTTAGGAATCGTCTCATGAAACGTGTAGCAGTAACATATTCTCATGCCCCCAAACTGCCTGGCTTGATTAAAATCAATGATGGATTTATTGTTCAGTGATGATCTCTCTGATGGCGGAAGAAACCTTATTCAGCATTGGACGAGCTTCAACATTTTGCTCCTTTCATTAAATATATATGTGACTTCCTCTATTTTAAAAGCGGGTCAAAGTCATACTATTTTCTAGAATGGGAGAACAAAATGAAGAACAAATTAGCAGGTTGGGAAGCTGATTGTCGAGCAAAGATCACCGTCATTCGATGTGTCCTTTCTTCTATTCACAGTCTGTAAATCCACTCATGGAATTTGATCAATGCAGGCTGAACTACCTTGGTCAATGGTCATCACGGAAGGGAAATCTGTCTGGGCTTCTTTGATGAGATCATCATCAATACCGACATCTCTTTAAAATATGCTCGGAATGATCCATCTTTCTGGTGTGCACAATCAAATGCTACTGTGAAGATGATGATGCTTCTTTTCAACAGATCATTCATTTTAGGTATAGGCGGATTTATAAAATTCCGTTTCATCCCATTGCTTTCATGATCAAATCTGCCCGTCCTCTCTTATGATACTTATCAAATCTACTGCTTTCGAAAATTGAGTGGCTTAAATGGGATTATCCTTCGATAGGTATGCTCAATTTAAATAAAGGTGGAGCTTCAAGGAATGGTCTCATTGTCAAGGTGACGATATTCTAAGAGACTGCGATCGTAGGATTATCCTTGCATTCCCCAACTTCCACAGCGAGGGCACAAACAACATGGGAAGAGCTAGAGCTAGATGAGCATTTGCGCTTAATTAGGGTTGGCATGTTAACTGCATCGGAGAACACTCTGAACTTCTTGTAGGCATCCTCAACAACGTTGTTTCTGCTTGCTGAAAATACTTGATTTACTACTTTCTGGCTTATACCCACCACAACAGAAGCTCCAAAATTTCCCCCAGTTTCTCCTTCCAGTAGATGCCAAATCTCTGCAGCAATTCTATACAGTCTGATATGACGGCGTCTGCAACAACCATGCAATCCTCAAATCAATTAAATGATGTTGATGTTGTGCGCAGCGGAAATTTCGGCAGCACTTCGACAGCACAACAAGAGAGATTAGATCGATAAGAATTCTCGTCTCACCAAGGAAACAAAAATCTGAAGCGGATATCTCAACAAAGTGAGATATCAGCTCTTCCTCTCATCAGTTCTAGGACTGACCTGTCAAGGGATCCTACAAGCTATTACAAATCACAGCAAGAACACAACTTTTATGTGGTTCGGCAAATAGCCTACGTCCACGGGGCAATGAGGGGGAGATCTACTATTAGAGGGAGAGTACAACTAGGGTTTACAATCTCACAATCTAAACCCTCTCAAACAAACTCTCAAATCCCTCTTACAAATATTCTCTCAAAGGGATACAAAAAACCCTAAACAAAAGACTGTGTCAGCCTCTGCGTCCGCACCCCTTTGCAATTGCTCTTCTGCTTTTTCGTACTCCGTCCTTTGGAGAAGTCCAGCCACAAACCTAACCTCGCACCCCTTCTTCACACGTCCTTGCTACAACCGCACGAAACCCTAGGGAAGGGTTTTATAAGGCTGAGATCAATTCGGGTGGGCCAACTTCGGGTACGAAACAACAACGCGGAAACAAACCGCTGGGCCAACTTCGGGTACGAAACAAAAAACGCGGAAACAAGTCTCCGCTTTGGTGAAACGCGGAAACAAAAGATTCACACACGTGGGTGGACCCCACATGTTCACAATTCTCCACCTCGGTGAAGTTTTCCCAAAACTGAACCGACACCGATCAAACCAAAAGTACCACTTGTTGCGTCCAGTACATCATGGCAATGGACTCATGACAACGGACTCCATCCACAACAAGTCGAGAACCCGAACGAGAGTCCAAACAATCTCACCCCCATCAAAATCAACTAATCCAAATCGGCTACATCTGAAAGACTGCCTACGTATCCTCTTGTCCAATGAATCAAGCCGAACGTAGTTCATCCAAATGGTCTCGAAAGGCCTCAACACCGAAGAATGTTCAAAAGTTCCAAACAATAACCAAACTTAATACCTGAAACAACTTTGGTCAATATATCTGTAGGGTTATCCTTCGTGTGGATCTTCTCCAACATGACGTCTCCTTCATCCAAAACGTCACGAACAAAATAGAATCTGACATCGATATGCTTCGTGCATGCATGATAAACTTGGTTCTTCGCCAAATAGATAGCTGACATGCTATCATCATATACCCGAAGGGTCTCCTGTGCAATCCTCAAGTTCTCCAATAATCCCTGCAACCACAAAGCCTCCTTCACAGCTTCAGTCAATGTCATATACTCTGCCTCTATAGTGGAGAGAGCCACTGTAGATTGAAGTGTGCATCTCTAACATACCGGTGCTCCTGCTAGTGTAAACACATATCCGCTAGTAGACCGGCGCTTGTCCAGATCCCCCGCATAATCAGAATCCACGTAACCAATACAATCCTGCCTGTTCTTCTCATTCTTCTGAAATACCAAACCAACATCCACGGTACCTTTGATATACCGTAGAATCCACTTCACGGCCTCCCAATGACCCTTCCCGGGGTCGTGCATGTATCTGGATACCATGCTCACGGCCTGTGATAAATCTGGCCTTGTACACACCATCACATACATCAAGCTACCCACAGCATTGGCATATGGAACTTTGGACATGTATTCACGGTCCTCAACTGAAACAGGTGACATCTTAGCTGATAGCTTAAAGTGGGGAGCTAATGGAGTACTCACCGCCTTGGCATTGCCATCATAACTGAATTTCCTCAGCATCTTCTGCAAGTAACTCTTCTGTGTCAACTTCAACTCCCCCTTCACCCTGTCTCTCTCGATTTCCATACCCAATATCTTCTTTGCTTCTCCAAGATCCTTCATCTCAAATTCGGATGACAGCTCCTTTTTTAACTTTCTAATAGCTGAAGTATTCCTGGAAGCTATGAGCATATCGTCAACATATAATAGCAAATAGATATACTCACCATTCTGTAGCTTGTGCAAGTAAACACACTGGTCATATGGGCTCCTCGTGTACCCTCGGCCAATCATAAAGCCGTCGAATCTCTTGTACCATTGTCGTGGCGATTGCTTCAATCCGTAAAGAGACTTCTTCAGCTTGCATACCAATTCTTCCTTTCCTGCAGCTTTGAACCCCATAGGTTGTGTCATGTAGATCTCCTCTTCTAAATCTCCATGTAGAAAGGTTGTTTCCACATCCATCTGGACCAAATCCAAATCTAGCTGTGCCACCAATGCCAATAAAATACGAATCGACGAATGCTTCACAACAGGTAAAAATACCTCGTTGTAATCAACGCCCTCTAGTTGTGCATATCCCTTGTCAACCAATCTGGCTTTGAATCTAATTTCCCCAATAGAAGATCTCTCTTTCTTTGCATACACCCACTTGCATCCAATAGCCTTCTTACCTTTCGGTAGCTTTGTAAGTTCCCAAGTGTCGTTCTTATGAAGAGACTGCATCTCTTCCTCTATGGCTTCCCTCCACCTAATCGAATCAGAGCTTGACTCTGCTTCCTTGAATGTAAAAGGAACCAAATCATCAACGACTTCTGCTGATAAAGCATATGCAACCATGACTTCGTCATATCTAGCTGGCTGACGAATGTTTCTTCTTAGTCTATTAGCTGCAATGGACTCCTGAACATGACCCTATTCCTGAGTCACAATATCCACTGTATCCTCTAAATACCCGGCTGTCATCTCATCTCCTCCCAGTGTCACCTCTGTAGGAACCTCAATGGATACAATGCTATCTGGAGTGGGTGAAGTCACACCATCCTCCACCTGCTGTGATATCCCAACTGTCTGGTCTTCCTCCACCTGCTAAGAAACTTGAGGCTTCATCATGTACGCCTCGTCAAATATGACATCCCTGCTAATAACTATCTTCTTGTTCTGTGGATCCCATAACTTAAAGCCTTTAATTCCATCTCTAAATCCCACAAAGATTGCTTTCCTCGCCCTCGGATTTAATTTACCATCACTGACATGGTAATAAGATGGACACCCAAATATCCGAAGCGACTCATAGTCACTAGCTACCGAACCAGACCAACGCTCCAACGGAGTCTTCCCCTGTATCGCAGTGCACGACAACCTATTCACGAGATGGCTCACATAAACCAACGCTTCGGCCCAAAAGGATCTTGACAATCCACTCTGCGTCATCATACATCGCACTTTCTCCAGCAAGGTACGGTTCAACCTTTCAGCCACCCCGTTCTGTTGCGGTGTCTCACGTACTATGAAGTGTCGTCTAATGCCGTGATCCCGACAAAACTGCAGAAACGGATCACTCTTATACTCTCCACCGTTATCAGAACGTAGAGTTTTTACCTTTCTACCTGTCTGCAGCTCCACTTTCTTCTTCCACTCCACAAAAATATCCAGGACCTGATGTTTATGCTTCATCGGGTATACCCAATTTCTCCTGAAATAGTCATCAATGAAAGTGACAAAATAGTTATCCCCACCAAGTGATGTGTACTTGGAAGGGCCCCAAACATCTGTGTGAATATAGTCTAATATACCTTGGGTATTGTGAATAGCGGTGCCGAATTTCACTCTTGTCTTCTTCCTAAGTATGCAATGTTCACACAGCTCCATCTTGCAGGTCTTCGCACCCTTCAATAGCCCATGCTTCGCCAATACCTGCAGGGACTTATCACTAGTGTGTCCCAATCTCATGTGCCATAAACTGATAGTATCTTCCTCTGTGGTAATCGAAGCTGCCAGACCCCCAGTTACTATTTTGCCCTTCAAGTAGTAAATATTATTTTCCCTGACACCTCGCATCACCACCATGGACCCCTTTGTGACCTTCAGAGTCGCATTCTCCAAAATCACCTTATAGCCAGTTGCCTCCAAAGTTCCAAGCGAAATGATATTCTTCGTCAATTGAGGAACGAATCTCACTTTCTTCAGCTCCCTAGTCACCCCGTCACACATCCGGATCCGTACTGTACCAATACCACCAATAGGGCATACATGATCATTACCCATGAGCACGACATCCCCTCTTTCCAACTCCTCAAAGCTGGAGAACCAATCCCTCCTAGGGCAAATATGGTATGTAGTACCAGAATCCATCATCCACTCCGTAGAGTCAGCGTAACAAACTGACGGTAGTGCAGAGCAGGAATAGCCTGAAGAATCTGTATCTAAATTGTCGTCACTAGCCTTGACAACATTCACTTCCGAAGCTTGTACAGCTTTCCCTTTATTCTTCCCGGCTTTATCTTTCAACTTTGGACAGTCGTTCTTCCAATGTCCTTCTTCTTTGCAAAAGCGACATTGATTCCTACCAATATTTCTATGGCCACCTCTTGACTTCGATCTTGAGCGATCACCTGGACGACGGTTTGGACCACGGCCGCGAACTGCTAATGCATCTCCCGATGCCTTCTCGGAGGGTTCGCCACCACTCTTCCTCAACTCATAATTCACTAAAGTTGAGGTCACATCCTTGTAGCTAACCGTAGTTCTTCCATTTATCATAGTGAGAACAAATATACCAAAATCATCCTCCGGCAACGAACACAATAGTAGCATCGCCTTGTCTTCATCCTCAACCTTGATATCTACATTGGCCATATCCGAAATTAGCTTCGTGAAGTTGTTAACATGCTCCCGAATAGAAACTCCCCTCTTCATCTTGAATTGATAAAACCTCTTCTTCAAGTGAAGCCGATTCTCAATGCTCTTTGTCAGATACTTCTCATTGAGTGTTTCCCACATTCTCTTCGCCGACGTCTCATTCATTACGTCATAAATAAGATCCGGCGTCAAGCATGACCGAATAACTCCACAAGCCCTACTATTCATTTTCTTCCAAACCTTGTCCTCCATATCAGCGGGTTTCTTTTGTAACTCAAGAGTCTCCTCCAAATTTTGTGCATCCAAGGCATCCATCACCTGACACCTCCACAAACCAAAATTAATCTTG